CCTTCCTTCCTTCCTTCCTTCCTTCCTTCCTTCCTTCCTTCCTTCCTCTCTTATTCTCTTTCTTATTCTCCTTTCTGATGGCGCAGTGATTAGAATGCAGTATTGCAAGGTATCTCTACCTGCAGACAGAAGTTCAATCCTGACTGACTCCAGGTTGACTCAGCCTTCCATCATTCCGAGGTGGGTAAAATGAGGAGCCAGATTGTTGGGGGCAAGAGGCTGACTCTGTAAACTGTTTTGAGAGAGGTAAAGCACTATGAACTGATGTATAAGTCTAAGTGCTATTGCTATTGCTATTCACTTAACAACCTTGTTTTAATTTAACCACTGCAGTAATTCACCTAAACAAACATGGCAGGAATGGGGCCAAGCTCCCTTAACAAATTTCTCAACATAAAGGTTGGGCTCAATTGTGGTCATAAGTTGAGGACTACCTGCCAACTGCAACAGCATCAGATGTGGTATTCGGCAGGTTCTGACTAATTCTGGAGAACCGGTAGCAGAAATTTTGAGTAGTTCAGAGAACCAGCAAATCCCACCTCTGACTGGCCCCGCCCCCATCTCTTCTCTGCCTCCCATTGAGTCTAAGCTGATTGGCTGGGTCTCCTTTGGTTGCCTTGCCCAGGAGAATGGACCTGGAAAGCAGGTTAGTGGGGTGGGGAGGGAATGGGGATTTTACAGTATCCTTCCCCTGCCATGCCCACCAAGATACACCCACCAAACCATGCCCACCAAGCCACGCCCACAAAACTGGTAGTAAAAACAAATCAAATCACACCACTGAACAGCACCCACTGGAGATGTTTCAGATGTTTAATGTTTAGGATGTGCTTGGAAACCTGGGCCATTCACAGATTTTATCCATTCATTGTTCTGGGGTGGTTGTTGTTTTTTTTAAAAAAAATGGATTCTCACTATTTTTTTTAATGTTGAATGCCACGCAGAATCTGGTAGAGCTGAATTAACTTATCTGAATTCCAAATTCTGCTTTATCTATTACTTATTTGGAACTCTTTTTTCTGCATACGCAAAAGGCAATGAAGAATCCCAGGAACATCACAGAACCAAAGGTTATGAGCACTATTTGGATGATGTTCAGCATCTTGATCTTGTCGGTCACTTTTGATCGGAAAAACTCTGCTTTCTTATCCGTAATTAAAGCGCTCTAGAGAAAGGGGGAAAACAAATTATGTCAGTGTTCTAACTAACTAACTCCAACCCAATTAATTCTGAGAGTGTCAAGTTCTCAAAGTTCCATTTTATTAGAGTTGTCATATTGGCACATCTGGGAAAATCAGAATCTGAGAGATCCTTTTTTTTTCTTCCCAAAATAGAAATCAAAGATCCATCCCCTGCACCCATCAGTCCATCACATGGCCCAATCAAATATTCATACCAACTGGAGACATCCCTCCAAACACTCCCCTCCAAGTGCAGGGAAACATGTCCTTAACTCTCTGAGAAAATAATGTTGTTGTGTCTAATCTATAGCATAAGTGCACAATCGTACCTACCGTCCCTGTCCTATTGTCCCCATTTATTCATATCTATTTCCTGTATTCTTACTCATGTTTATACTTATACCTATTATCTTGTAAGTGATCGATAAATCAAATCAAATAAATAAATAAATAAAATAAATCTTCTACCTCTCTATGAAATCCCCCCTCCCAAATTCCCAGGTACTGAATGTGGCAGCCTCGAAGCTATCTTGCAATGCATGCATAATTTTGCATAAAATGGAGTGTCCAACTGCAACAGGAAGGAAGACCGTTGGAAGTAATGAATTAATTCTATGATGGAAAAACATCTGATAGCAGAGAATTAAAGAGAGAGAGAGAGAAAACCCAACAAAACAAGGAACTGAGATCTGGACCTTAAATATGGTTTAATTAAAAGAAAGGACTATGAACACCATTAGTTCCCATGTGTTTAAGAGAGAGTCTCTTTTTTCAGGCCCAAAATTGCAATTCAGTCACTTTTAAAATATTTGCAGGGAGGGATGTAAAGGAGAGGAGAAAAACTTCTACAGTCGTGGGTTTTCAAGAGACGTGCCCTTTCCCTGGTTAACAATAAGAGGGAAACCCTAACCAGAATGGTTATTGTATTTTAAGTATTACATCTTCATCCCTGTAGTTAATAATGTAACAAGAAGGCAAGAAGCCTTAGTGAGACCATACCTAGGGTACTGCATCCAGTTTTGGTCACCACACTATAAAAAAGATGTTGAGACTCTAGAAAACGTACAGAGAAGAGCAACCAGGATGGTGAGGGGATGATTGGAGGCTAAAACATATGAAGAACGGTTGCAGGAACTGGGACTGGCTAGTCTAGGGAAGAGAAGGGCCAGGGGAGACAGGAGAGCACTGCTCCTATATTTGAGGGGCTGCCCCAGAGAGGAGGAGGGGGTCAAGCTAATTTCCAAAGCACCCAAAGGCCAGACAAGGAACAATGGATGGAAACTGATCAAGGAGAGATTCAATCTGGAAATAAGGAGGAACTTTCTGACAGTGAGAACAATCAACCAATGGAACAGAAGTTGCCTTCGGAAGTTGTGGGAGCTTCATCCCTGGAAGCTTTCAAGGAGAGATTGGACTGCCATTTGTCAGTAGGGTCTCTTGCTTGGGCAGGGGGTTGGACTAGATCACCTACAAGGTCCCTTCCAACTCTGTTAATCTGTATCTGTATCTGTAAGACAGCCAAGCAACCTGTCTTGATGGCCAAGATGACTTTGTGTCATCCAGAAAGAAAAGAACCATCCAGAATTTAACCTGTGTTACATAGGGGAGATAGGAGATAGATTTCTGGATTAAACCAACCTATAATAAATCCTTTCTGCAGTTCCAAGAAGATTCCACAACCATTTGCACTCTGATTCAGGTGACGCTGGAGGGCACAGATAAACCCCCAAGTGGACTGAAGGGCTCTCAGAGAGAGTGTTGATGACCAGATGACTGTAATGGAACATAAACCCTTCCATACCCCTCCCCACCATTCTGCCAGAACTAAAACCCTGTATCTCCCTCTTCCATCCAGTCAAAATTGATGAAGCTTCTGGGATGAGAAGCGAAATGTGTTCTTCTTTCTCAAGAAGAAAGAAAGCTACCTTTTGAAAAAGCACTTTTGAGACATTCAGAATTTTCTTGCTTCCTTCCACAGTATAACTGTGTTGAGAAGTTTACAGGAGGTGAAGAAGTGAAAACTGGGAAAGGAGAGAATGAGTGACTTGGTTCCTACTGGTTTCATTTCAGAGGAAACCTAGAACAGGTAAGGACAGGACCTCTGGATCTTCTCCCAGATCAGAGAATTGAGACAAGCTGTTAATCCCTCCGTGATGAGTAGATGATCATATAGAAGCAGACTTTTCTGGGGGAATTCCCCCCTCCCTTTTTAAAGTTGATTCAATCAGGGGTGATCCCACATGGGTCAAAGATTGGTCAAACCAGGGATGGCCTGCTACTGGTTCACCCCAATTCAGGAGAACTGATAGCTAATTTTATGGCCAGTTCAGTGAACCGGTAAATCCCACCCCTGGCTGGCCCCGCCCATCTCACCCCACTGTTCCCAGGAGTTCCCACATGGCCCATTTTGGATGCCAGGTAAGTGCAGGGCCTGTGTGGAGGCTTGGGGAGGGCAAAAAACAGCCCCCCAGGAGGCTCCAAAAGACCCGTTTCCAGCCTCCGTAGAGCCTCCGGAGCCCGGGAAGGCCATTTATACTCTCCCGGAGGCTCAATGAAAGCCTCTGGAGCCCGGGGAGGGTGAAAACACCTCCCTGCCATGATGCAGGAGACCGACTAGGCCACACCCACCATGGCCACACCCAACCAGTAACCGGGCAGAGAACCCTTTGCTAAAATTTTTGAAGCCCACCACTGGGTCAAATGAAAAGGAAGGATGGCAACAATTGAGAAAGAAACCTACTAACCTCATTCAGCCACAAAACAGGAAATAAAAATTCGTGCTTGATGTTTTTTAGTGCTCTGCAGGAAACAAAAATAAGAAAACAGCATTAGAAGATTAGTTTAGGCCTGCTGTCTTCTGAGAATGCCCCCACCCCCCCCACCAAAAAAAATGGCTACAGCCAATTGGTTTGAGTTCTATACTATTTTTCTTGGAGCCCAATCAAAATTGCCTTGTGGAGAAAAGCCTGTCTTACTTGGTTCTTCCTCCAACTGTAACCAGGTTGGAAATGTCCACATTCATTTAGATCTTTGAGCAAAAGGCGAATGGCATTAGTTGAGCAAAGCAGATAAGGCCTTATAGACAAGATGTAGATAGAGAATGGCTAAGACGCTGATTTTGTCAATCAGAAAGGTCAAAAGCTCGGCGGTTTGAATCCCTAGTGCCGCATAATGGAGTGAGGTCCCATTCCTTGTCCCAGCTTCTGCCAACCTAGCAGTTTCTAAAGCATGTAAAAATGCAAGTAGAAAAATAGGGAGCACTTTGGTGGGAAGGGAACAGCATTCCATGCGCCCTCAGCATTTAGTCATGCTGGCCACATGACCACAGAGAAGTCTTCGGACAGTGCTGGCTCTTTGGCTTTGTAACGGAGATGAGCACTGCTGCCTAGAGCTGGAAATGGCTAGCATATATGTGCGAGGGGAACCTTTACCTTTACCTTTTATACTGTAGATCAGGGGTGTCCAACCTTGGCAACTTTAAGACTTGTGGACTTCAACTCCCAGAATTCCTCAGCCAGCTGGCTGAGGAATTCT